GGAAATGTTTAAGTCAAGATGGATTATTTGGTCTAGGTTGGCCAGTGCTCCAGCAGATGGTTTCCATACAAAATTATCTTTCCTCAGGCGTTTAACAGTGCCTAAGTGCTTCTGTCAGCTGGCCTTCATGGAGGAAGTTTGGTTTTATAAAAAGCTTAGGATATCAATAATGAAAATGGAATCCAGGGGGCTTTTCTGTCTCTTTCACATATATCCCAAATATGCATTGTCAAAGCTCCAGGAGACTATGCAAGCCTGTAGTTATTAGCACAGGACACTGCTTAGGGATGCTGTTAAAATTTGGCACTAAGTATCTGAATCACCACCAGATTCTCCTCCCCCAGTAGCCAGAGTGAGGGACAAGCTTCAGCAAGGACTCATGACACGGAGATCCGAAGCCCGCATGAATGCTTCCCATAGGAACATCAGGTTGACCAGCCCCGAGTAGGAGCAGGATGAGGTGTCTAGATGGCTGCTGTTGCTATAAAATCTGCACCCAGATGCTGGCAAGCTTGTGGAAGCAACAAGTCAAATCTCTGGCTTGCATCCACACTCCTGACTACCTTGAACCTTGTTCTCTGGACCCTTGGCTTTGGACTATGACCCCGGACTACGCTGTGTGATTTGGCTTTGGATCCTGACCTCGGCTTATGGTTTGTGATTTGGCTTTGGCATTTTGGTATTGACTCTGCATCCTCTGAACTTCTGATATTGGACTGAGTTATCGGACTTTGCTCTTGAAACCCCCAGGAACATGACACAGCACAACAGATCAAACAAGGTGGTATTTCAGGACTATGACAACTATATTAGTCAACCCCCTAGAAGTTTCTTATCTTTCATACCTCTTTCTTATGTAGCAGTAGATTACAGCAATCATTCCAATTAGTAACATTCCACCACCAATCCCGACAGCAACATAACATTCAGAGGAATATTGTGTGTAGGAATTTAACATCAGATGTTCACATCTTTCACCACTGTAACCTACAAGACACCTGGGATGGAGAAAAAGTGAGATTCCCTAAGAGGAGATGGTCAAGAGGATAAACTAAAAACTGGACCCAATAGGGGATAAAATAAAGAGAAAAATCACAAGCCAGATTTCCTTTTCAAATTTAATCTGAATAAGAGTTTCTTAAGACACATCATAAAATCTAATTCATCAAAGAATAACTTCATTTTTCCATATATAAAATGACACTTTCCCCAAAAAATAATTAGTGGAAAAATTTGAGGGTTGTTTTATGCATGGAAGGCAGCAGTAGGAGGCAGGGACGGAGGCAAAGAAGTAGCCACGCTCAGCTGCCTGTAGCAGCTGCCCATTGACTGCTGCCGCCACTGCCCGATTGCCCCCTTTAGTGCTACTGCGTTGTTCCCTGCCTAAAGGAGATGACTGCTGGAGGGGGCGATTGGGTGGCAGAGACAGCAATCAGTGGGCAGCTACGAGAGGCGACCAAGTGTCGTGCTCCTTTGCCTCCGTCTCTGCCTCCTCGGTGATCGTACAGCCTTTTGATCCCTGCTTTCCCTTTCCTTTTGCTAAGCTCTGTGGGGCTTAGCAAAAGGGAAGTGGCGGGGAAAGCAGTGCTCAAATTTTCTAATTTGGGGTTAGAAAAGGGGGGAGTCATCTTATACATCTGGTCGTGTTATAAATGGAAAAATGCGGTATTTGCTTACCTGCAATTGGGCATCTTTAATTCTGTGTGAAATACGCAGATACCATTAAGACAATAATCATTGTGCTCTTCAAAGCAGGACTGAATGCTTTTTAGGTCCATAGGACTCACTGTATGTCCTGCTGGGAGGAAGAAATGGATAACAAAAGATGGGATGGATGACCAGACTGCAATCTGATACAAACTTTGTCTCTGAGTATGTACCACTGATTTCACTTCTAAGTAGACTTTCATAGAACTGCGCCACATTTGTCCAAAATTACGTTATCTTGAAAGTTCTGGATATTTATGGCAGAAAAGCCCTACCACAGATTTCAGTTACTTATTTTCTAGATGGACACACTGCCCCAGTTTTTCCCAACAGTTTTATCTCAAGAGCTGCTATAACTCACTGTGAGCCCCAGCCAGTAGAGACAACAGTTGGGAATGATGAGAATCATAACCTTCCATAATACTTGGAAGGACCAGGCTTGGGGGGGGGGCTGGCTGCTCATCTGGGAAGCCCTCACCTAGCTTTCATTAATATTAATGAGGTTTGTGCAGAACATCCTGCTAACTTTTGTTATTTGATGAGAGTGCTATTTGATTTCCACTCTCCCCGCAGGTTTTTGAGGTATGTATTTAATTACAGGAAGGCAATATAGCACTGTTAATTTATAATTATGTGCCATCAAGTCAATTCTGACTTACAAACAACCCTCCCAGGGTTTTCTAGACCAGTGGTCCCCAACCTTGGGCCTCCAGATGTTCTTGGACTTCAACTCCCAGAAATCCTGGCCAGCAGAGGTGGTGGTGTAGGCTTCTGGGAGTTGTAGTCCAAGAACATCTGGATGCCCAAGGTTGGGGACCACTGTTCTAGACCAGTGGTTCTCAAACTGGGGTCCCAGATGTTCTTGGGCTGCTACTCCCAGAAATCCTGCCCAGCACAGCAGGTGGCGAAGGCTTCTGGGAATTGCAATCCAAGAACATCTGGGGACCACACTTTGAGAACCACTGTTCTAGACAATGAGTACTCAGTAGTTTACCTTCTTCTGGGGGGTGTCTGGGACTGTTCAGCTTGCCCAAGGCAGGCTCTTCTCCTGGGATGCACAGTGGGGAATTGGTCTCCCAAGCTCTGGCTCTGCAGCCAAATGCTTAATCCACTAAATTATCCAGCCAGTTGTTACTCTCAATCTCAATTATTCTATGGAATTCTCAAAGTACCCTTTTTGGTAATTACCAGTACAGGAACATCTTGGCATTGTAAAGTTTCACTCAAGTGCAACGTTCCATTCATTGCCGCTGAAACCTCTGATAAGCTGCTGACCTGAGCCAGGGAGAGTCCGATGCAGCAATGCATTTGTTACACTTCTTTCTGATGCATTCATGGTGGTGAGTGATTCAGTGAAATCTTAGGAAATACAGAGCAGCTATTATTAAACATTGCAGAGATGATCCTTTTGCAGCCATAAACAGCAGAGGATCTAAAAACAGCTACTGCCACCAAGCTGTGCACCAGATCTTTATGATACAGATGAACCTCATACAGAACTACAGCGGCGCCTCGCTAGACAGTTACCCCGCATGACAGTTTTTTCACTAGACATTGGCTTTTTGCGATCGCTATAGCAATTCACTAAACAGTGATTCCTATGGGGGAATTTCGCTGGGCAATGTTTGGTCCCTGCTTCGCAAACCGATTTTTGCTAGACAACGATTTTGACAGCTCCCTCCGTGTTTGCAAACAGGTGTTTTTGGGACCTAAGCTTCGCAAGACAGCGATTTAAACAGCTGATCAGCAGTTCACAAAGTGGCTTTCCTATGGCCGATCTTCACTAGACGACGATTCTTCCCCATTGGAACGCATTAAACAGGTTTCAATGCATTCCAATGGGGAAATGCTTTTCGCTAGACACTGATTTCGCTAAACAGCTATTTCAGTGGAATGGGTTATCATCATCTAGCGAGGCACCACTTTAGTTGACTGTTCACTTTCTTGACGGCTCTCCCATTGACAACTTAGCACCATTGTATCCTGACTGAGCTTCCACTTGTTGTTCTTCATCTGCCCCATTACCAACCCCTTCAAGGATTTCCACAGCAACACCAGAAATTCCAGTTTGCTGAAAACCTCGGAGACAGACCTTAACTCAGTATGTTGGCAAAAATAAAGGGGAAAAAGAAAAGGAGGCAAAATTTGCTAATTCATTGCAGGCTAAAAGTTTTATTTCAGTGTGAGCCTTGGTCTATAAATCCAAGAGAGCTGCAGACCGTCCAGGTTTACAATACTGGGTTATATGAACAAGGACCTGGCTCTTCAAGGCACTTAATATGTTTCAAAGCCAGAAGGACTTGAACTCAATGGGACATAGAGTTGAGCTGTAAATGTTAAACCAAATTGTTCCTTGTTGTTACATGATATCAAGTTCTCTCCGACTAATGGCAACTCTATGAATGAGTGACTTCCGAAATGTCCTTTCCTCAACTGTTGTGGTTTCCTTTATGGAGTCAGTTTATCTCATATTATATCTTCCTCTTTGCCTGCTGCCATCAATCTGTCCTAGCATAAATCAATTTATATATTGCCAAAGGCTGGATATGTGCTCTTCTGAGATACCAAAATACAGTAACGTATAAGGGGAGGTGAAATTTAATAAGCAAAAATTATCTCATTATGATAGGCTTGTTATATTGTTAACATTTTTTCTTAATACAGAAACGTAATACAGTAATAGCTACAAAAATAATTCTGCCCTTTAAGAAGTTAAAATTCACTCTCGCTGGCTAACCAACTCAAGCTTTAATTATTCTCCACATTTAGCCAATGACACTTCGCAGCCCACCTACAGTAAGAGTGGCCAAGCTGATCAGAGCAACTTTAAGCATGAGCCTGTATGTTGAAATGATAAACAAAAATAAGTAAAAACTATCAGCATACCTACCTTTTAATAAAATGCATAAAAATAACATGTCCAAAGGTACACCAACCATCATTTCTAGAGCACAACTCTCACCTCTCTTTCCAGCTCTTTGTCCTCCTCTGCCACCTGTGCATTTATATATGTCCCCTGTTAATCTTGCTGGTCAAAAAGGATGATGCATATGAGATCAGCCTGGAAGCCTCAGAGCAAATAGAAATTGATTTAAGAAACCACCGCTTCCGTGCAATGTGATCAGGTGTTTTTCTTGGTGGGGGGGGAAGAGTAAGTTCCCATTACCTGTGGGCATAACTGTGTATTCAAGGATACTATTTAAGGGAGAAACTGGAGAGACCAGGTGAACACTGACTTGGCTATATACACATATTTAAAGAATGCACAAGGGGTGAGCCTAGCCTAGGTACCTACCAGTACACAAGGAAATGACTAAAGGTGAAATCCTGTTAGGCTTTGATAGCTGACCTTCAACTTTGAGAAGGTCCCTTTGCATACGGACACAGGATCTAATTGGGAAGGCCAATATGTACCTCCAAGCTTAGGGAGGGGACAAACTGCCTTCACCAAAACTAAAGCAGCACATGGAGCTTGAAAGGACAAGTTCTGCACATCATTTTTAAAATTAAATTTTAAACTAAACATGTATTTCAAATAAGCAGTTAATAAACAGGATGGTACTGAAAACAGTTTTCAACAATGGTCCAAATTCAGGGCACTGGCAGAGAAATGCCACTGTGAACGTCCACACTTAAATTTCTTAGTTGATGTGTGTATTCAAAGGAAATGAAACAACACAATAAAAATGAACAGATTTACAATTTTTTTATTTTGAAAACATGGGTGAAAAATCTGATTCATGTTCTGCTGCAGAATTGTATGGAATAAGTGTCTGTCTGGGTTTACGCCCCTTCAGCTGAAATAAAGAAATGCAGACAAGCACCTACTTGGACTCCTTTCAACGAGTAAATTAAAAATTGTACCCAATATAGTTCACTTTCAACAATCAGGTTGTTATAACACTACAGTTCACTCATACTGAAAAATGGATAATCAACCTGTTAAAATCCTGTGGAACTTAAAAATATCAGTTTATTTTAATTCCAAATACACACTGCAGTTTTTACAGGTGGTATTTTCCTGTCTATTAACTATGGGAACAAGGCTTCTGCAGTAAGAGTTAAATAGGCCAACCCACACCCAATAAATTAAATATAAATGTGGGCAATGTCTTGCTCTGGATGAAGGGAAAAACTAGAGGTAGATGCAAAATGCTACAAAGCGCAGTGATTTCTTGTGGGTTGATTCTCCATCTTTTTAATGTTAGTAAACATGTGAATCACAATCCAGTGGTAACAAACATTGAGCATGCTTAAAAATACACATGCAATTTACTATCATTTGAGTATTTTTAAATATATTCCGCCATCAAATTCTATATTATAGTGAGCATAGTGGTTTCCAAATGTGTATTTGGGAATTCCCCTTTATGCATATTGTTACTAAAATATAAGCCCTTTATTATTGTAAGCTTGAATAGCATTATACAGTTGAAACTCACACACACATTTCATTTCCTGTTGGACGAGAGCTCCCATTGACATCACACATTTTGTAAACTGGGATCAATAGTTCAGACCAAGGCTATGTACACAAAATATTACACCAATTCATATGTGAAATCAACAGATATATAGTCTGCAGCATAGACAGTAAATTCCTGTAAAATTTGCAAACAAACCTATTGTCAATCTTCCCGTGTGAATAAATGCAATTCAGAAATAAATATATTTGTAACAAAAATAAATGTTTATGTATCCATAAATAGAATGACTTGAATAAAAAGTTTTTAATAAATAAGCTTCTTCTTAGCAGCAATGAATGTATTCTTCAAGAGCATGGCAACTGTTATTGGTCCTACCCCTCCTGGCACAGGCGTGATAAAGCCAGCTTTCTTCTTTACTTCTGCCATTTAAAAAAAAAGAGTGGGGGAAAAAAGAGATTTTGCATAAAACACATGTTTTAGAATGTTGGCAATTAATAAAACTTAACCCACAGCCAGAGTGAGCAAAAAATATATCTGTATACTCTTAAAGTTGCTGATGGAATCCTGGTTCTAATAGCTAAGAAGCAGGATTTTCAATCCAACTCCAAAACTAAAAATTCCAGAATTTTTCATCTTGTTCTTTATTTGTTGGGGGCATTAAATGTTAATTCACAATGTTGATACTATCCAATCATGAAGGTCACAGAATAGGTTACTAGTCCAGTTCCATCTACTCAGTGGAAAGTAGATTAAGATTTAAGGCTAACTCTGATATAGCTCAAGACACACGGGCTCCTCACATGGCAGGCTCTGGATATCTCCAGTTTGCTCACATCTTTCCCCACTATATGAAAACCTGTTGCAAAATTCATTTCTGTCACTAGGCATAGCTTGGCAGACAGATGGGGGACTGGGAGAGATGTACGGAAGGACCTATGCGTACATCTACATGTTTGGACCAGACCTGAAGATTGGTTCAAATCCAGTTTTGCTACATTAAGACATGGCCAAACTGCAGATTCTATCTGCTTCCTTTATTCTTGCTTATTCCAGGAAATGCAGAAATAGAAAAACATTTGTACATCTTCAAAGCAATAATCCTGAACATGTCCAAGTTAAAAGAACTGGCTGAGGTGGGCAATGTGCCAGCAGAATCAGAAACGGCTGCTGCTCTAAGCCTTCATTGGGGTACAACAGCTTTGTGGGCATCAAAACCCTGAAAAATTCAGTTCCCAGCATTTCTGAGCCCTTAAATACCCATTATCACTGCTGCTCCAGGTACTTTCTTAGAGGAGGAAACTGGGGCAGTGGGCCTCTAGTGTTCCTGAGACAGAAGATTCACAAGATGGCAGGAAGGCCTCCAGCCTTGCTGGGTTCTAAAGCAAGGGGAAAAAGGTCCAAGACCTTATCTTATTTGTCAATGATATTATCAGGACACAAATTGGGAATTTAGAACAGGCTTGACCTAACAACAGTTTAATCTGGACACACATTAGCTTATTTTAGGCAAGCCTAACAAGCCTATTCCAGATCAAGTCCATGGAAGCTCATCTACCAGCCCCTTTCCCATCCATCCATTCGTGTTAGGTACCACAGATTTTATTATCTAAATGCAATTGACTTGCACTGCAGAACACACTTCCCAAGGGTATCTGAAAAAGGCAGACCCCAAAACAAAAAGTATTGTGGTACTTTTTAAGACAAATTTATTTCAGTGGGAGCTTTTGTGGATTACAACACAGTTCTTCAAACTCAGACACCACATTTTCAGTCATTTCTTCTGTTTCTGAATAACTGGATTGCAGTCCATGAAAACAAAAATTGAAATAAATTTGGTAATCTTAAAAGTGTCGTAATATTTCTTGTTTTTGCTTTAAAAGACTAACGCAGCTACGTCTCTGAAAAGTTTGATTTAAAAGCCTTTGCTGGTGGGAAATAAGGAATCATCATTTTGCAACTTCTTCATAAATTTTCAGTGTTTCTTCATCTTCTAAAAGAAATGATATGCATCCCTGACAAACAGGATCCTCTGCGAAGTCTTCATTCTTGGAACGCTTTTAAAATAGAGAGTATCTGGCCCAAATAGGATTAATCCCTCCAGAAAACTAGTCAACACTAGCAAACTAAGGGCATAATTTTGTTCTTTGAACTACATAGTTTTCAAACCTAAGGAACATTCTTACATTCTGTACATTTTCCACTGAGTGCATTCCAACCCCATTTCAAAAACACTTTAGTACGTTTATATAACATCACTCCTAATTAAGTCACATTTTACAGAGATACTGTTTTTGTTACAGAGATACTCTTTGTCATGTGTAAAGGTGCATTCTTCCACTGCATCATTTTCTTTTATCCTCTTGGCCCCATCAGACTCTAGTTTCTCATGGAGGTATGATTAGAGGGAGACCTCAAAAAGCAAAGCAAAATAAAACCGCCTGGTCAGTAGCATAAACAGCTCTGTCTGTAGTATGTCAGGCCGCAAGGTACTGCTATTGTAGACATTTTGATGTGATCTGAGTAGACTTGACTGCTTGTAGTGAAGTGCAAGCAGGTAAAGAATCCTGCTACCACTAAGACTGCAACCTAATTATCTTTAAAATGCTATTCTAAAATAGTCTTCAATAAGAACTCACCTCTTCTCAAAAGATATGATGTAAAGACAAGTGCTCTTGTAGCCAAAGTTTTGCAAACAATATACTGTCAGAATACCTATACTTCAGTCTGCTTTGCCTTCTCTGAAAATGTAGGAACCCATTACCAGAATCCTACTGTGGTGTAGTCCAATGGTGTAAATCTCTGTAGTAAATAACCCCTATTCTCACTGATACTTTAAAAAAATAGTACCTATATGTATGATTCAATGTAGGGACTACAGTGGTGCCCCGCATAGTTTCGCTATGGGGAAACATCGCTATACGGATCAAAAAAGCCCATCGGAATGCATTAAACATTGTTTAATGCGTTCCAAATGGGCCCAAAACTCACTGTTCTGCGATGTTTCCCCATGTTCCGGCGGCCATTTTGGGTGTTCCAGCAGCCATTTTGGGTGGTTCCAGTGGCCATTTTGGGTGTTCCGGCGGCCATTTTGGGTGGTTCCAGCGGCCATTTTGGGTGTTCCGGCAGCCATTTTCGAACCGCCGGACAGCTGTTCCCCCTCGCAATGCAAAGAAACATCGGTATGCGATCGCATTAGCGATCTCAAAATCCGCATCAGTATGCGGATTCATCGTTAAATGGTGCGTCCGTTATATGAGGCACCACTGTATTTCACATACATCCAAGTATCCTTATATACTTTTGTGTAGGGCATTATATAAATTCATTGTTTGCTGCATGGGATACAATTTGTTTGCCACATAGGATGAACTACATGCAGAATTCCCAAAAGATATGCAAAACACGTTGTGTTGAAGTCACCTTCAAGCTTGTTAAAAGTTCCATTCTTCCTCTTTTAAGAATGTGTGTCAAATTTTAATGTGCTTTTTTAAAATGTGCTTTCTTTGTCCTCCCACCCTTTTCCATCAAGAGATGAATATTTACAAACCCCTCCCATCTCCAAAAGCAACTGTGACAGATTTAGTAATTCCATGAACAAAGCCACTTGGCTTACCTTCAAAGTCTACATCCCCAACTAATTTGGTCTTCCCTGTGAGAGGATCATGGATATGGTTGATCCCAACATCAATCACAGCTGCTCCTTCTTTTACCATATCAGAGGTAATCAGTTTTGGAATACCTGAAACCACCAATCCAATTAGGATTCATAGATCTGAACAAGAACATATCACATTAAGTATTTTCATCCTTAACAGGGAAAAGCCTTAGAAATATTTAACTGATAAACACAGAAAATTTGATCCAAAATATTGACATACTGTAACAGATACTCTGTTTCACATTGCCAGTGTGGATGGCCAGAACATGGTATCCAGAAGACACAGGAAATGTTCATTTAGGGTAGGGGTCTCCAAACCTTTCACAGTGAAGGTCAGACTGAATATTGTCAAAGTTTTTGAGGGCTGAAGGAACAGGAATGTGTGTGCGATTGCCTGCACACCCACACACACCTGCCTGCCCCCCCCATGCAGATGGTCTCTGCTTGACTACAGTATTAAGGGTGATAAGTGGACAGTGTCTGGACATGGCAGAATTTTAAAAATGCCAGCACAAATCTTTAGACCAATTTATATAAGAGAATAAGAGGACAAGAATAGTGACAATGTCACAGTGGGGAAATAATACTCAGTAAACATAGGCATTTGCAGTATTAAAGAGCCCTATAATTATATTTGCATAACAAAAATTCTGCAAATACTTTAGAGTCATTAAGTAATTAAGGCAAACAGCACATTTGAGGGTGACCTCTTTCACAGACAGGTTAAAATGTTGGGCTTACTATGAACTACTGAAAAATCCATATTCTAAAACAGTCTTTTTTCTCTAAGCAAAACTGCTGCACAATAAAATGCAGGCTTTTAACTCTCCCCACCCAAGAAAACCTCAGGAACAAAAATGTTTCAGTAATGCAGTGATAAACCTAATAGTAATTGGGATTTCTTTGCTGTAGGAAAAAGGCACAGATCCTTCCTTATGTTGGACTACCACATTAAAAAAAAGACAAGAAGCATACATGGCTACATGTTTTTGTCTCCTTGATTACAGTTTCTAGACCTTCAGTTCTTCTGAGTGCCTGAAACACAGGCTGGAATTTTATCTTCTTAAAATGTCATCTTCTTCAAGCTCCTGCCGAATCTTAGGTTTACTCCACACCTTATGCAAAAATGGGTGATATGAGCACCATTAGCCTGAGGAACAAACTTCCTTGACTTCACAACTCTGCATGTTGTGTAATAAGTGTTTTATTTAGATCCTTTGAGAGGAAGAAAATAGAGTGCCACTAAGAAGTACAAATTAAAAACTCAACTGAATTAACATTCAGTGAGACCACATTTCTTAAAGGAACAGGTGTATATTACATATATCAGTGAGGGATGGCAACTAAATTTGGACACATCTGGACAGTTATCATAGATATAGAGGTTTGAAAGATGAGTAACAGAGCATGCAGATTTCTTTTGTAAATCGTGGTATAAATGCCAAAGAAAAAGAAGAGAGGAAAAGGACAAAAAAGATAAGGGAAACTGGAGTCTTCGAGACATGCAAAATAACAAACCAATAAAGAAAATGAATAATAAAATAATAATTTTAGCCAAATTAATAAATCTGCTTAAGATTGTTTCCAGTGAAAAGTTCCTGCAGACATTTCCCTTCTTTAGTGTCACTGTGAGTATGTACCAGAGTGCCTCCCACCAAATATATTGACTGTGGACTCTGCTGGATTATGATTCCTGTCACCCCAGCCAGAATGGCCTTATCATATTAGCCGTGTACAATAGGAATTGTAGCTTATCTTGAGGATGCTAGGTTACAGAAAGATGATCTAGGTTTTACGAAAATATTTTATTTTAAACATAATAATGAAAATTTATGAAATAAAAAAAGACAGCATAACACAGATTTTTAAATAAACTGTGTATAACTGGGAGTACAACATTACCTGCAGCAACTATCACAATATCAGCAAGCTGGGTATGAATCTTCAGTTGATCTTTTGGTGTATATCTGTGAGTAATTGTCACTGTAGCATCACCTATCACAAATAACACCGGTCAAAGTCAATGTTAAATTATGGTACTATAATGAAGTAATAATAAAAACAATCATCATCCATATGTTGAAGCACCAAAGATTTACACAATATAATTTGTTAACCTGTTTATCCCCAAATGTGGCCCAAATATAATAATCTACATGTCTGTAAGAAGCCTACCTATGTATGCAATTTTAAAAGAAACATGAGCATTTCAAAATATTCTTTCTTGCCTGGAATCCAGCCCTCTGGATTAAAATTAGTTTATTAGATGAATACAAAACAAATAATTATAGTCACTTACATATTTGTGTAAAATAAGAGACTGATGAATAAAATAATGGGAATTTCAATATTATTTAAAGTAAAGAAAATTAACTCACAATTCTGGATCTCTAGTTAAGAAAAATAAAATTTACACAAGACTGAATAAAGATAAATCAAACATGAACTTAGAATTCTAAATGTGTCTGGAAAGGTACTTTTATTGTTCCATAACATCAGTCATGGAACATACAGCATTTTAGATATGCACCTTGCCCGCAAGCACAAAGCAGAGGGCTAAATCCGTTAGTCAATTTAGGCCCACTGAAATCATAGAAATTTATATTATTCATAGATTTATGCCCCACTCATTTCAACCAGATTATTCTAATAGGGACTAACACTAGGTTTAGTCCTAAAATGCTGCATCTTGTACAGACACATACTCCCAACCCCATTTCCTCCAAAATTTCACCCAAATATTGCTTCTTCAGCACGTTATGCAAAAGCCATTATATAATTAGTATGTGCAAGGTCATCTAACTGTTCTAAGTCCTAAGGGCAGGTATGCTCTGACTGTGGCTTGCTTCTGTAACTACAGTACCTTCTAGTTAGAAGGCATGGGATTTAATGAATTTTCTCAACTGGAGTTTACTAAAGATTATCTTATCTCTGAGTTTCTGAAAATCCTTTGAGTAATAAAATGTAATAAATGCAGAATACAAAGAGAGTTCAGACATTCTTGTAAAAAAGTATTTCAGAAATGAATATACTTGCTGTATTCATTTGTTGACATTTGTTGACAATGACATAACTCAGTCACTCTTTGCCTCAAGAGAAAATTAGTTTAATTCAGTAAGGATGAAATAAGCCTCTATTCTGCCGCCCATAGTAGACCTTGGTCTAGATGGGCGGGGTAGAAATCTAACAAACAAACAAACAAATAAATAAATTACAGTGGTGCCTCACATAACGAGCACACTGTTTAATGATGAATCCGCATAGTGATGTGGATTTTGCGATCGCTAATGCGATCGCATACCGATGTTTAAATAGGGCAAAAATCGCTTTGCGACGATCGGTAAGCGTTTCGCTTACCGATCTTCGCATTGCGATGTCGGGGGAACAGCTGATTGGCGGTTCCAAAACGGCTGCCGGAACACCCAAAATGTCCGCACGCAGCATTTTCACGCGCTGCCCTCGCTTACCGAGGGTGCGAAAATGGCGGCTGGATGGGGAAACTTCGCTCAACAGTGAGTTTGGGCCCCGTTGGAATGCATTAAACAAAGTTTAATGCGTTCCAATGGGCTTTTCCATTCCATTTAGCGATGTTTCCCCATAGCGAAGGTTAATCCGGAACAGATTAACCTTGCTATGCGGGGCACCACTGTAATTAATTAATTAATATTCATTTCTTGAAAGGCTATAACAAGAGGATATAAAGACTCTTCAAAGATGTTTAATATCATCACCACTGTTTGTGTTTTTACTGTATCCAGTTGAACTACCCAAGGGGTTTATTTTCCCAGAAGCCTACAAGAGAATTTACAAGATTCCAGTCCATATTTATTTTTATTTATTTATTATTAGACTTAATACCTCGCCCCTCTAGACAACATCTACTCGGGACGGCTTACATGAATAATACATGAATATGCACAAGGAAATGGATTGCCGCCAAAGTACATTTTTTAAAATTTGGTTTTTAATAAATTTCATAAAGTTAAGTAACCCACAGAATCTATGCAACTATATTTGTGCTTATAATCTGACAAATGTTGAATTTCATTTGAAGCAAAACATTTTCCCCAAAGTATTATTGTAGGAGTTTCATTAAGGACTCCCATCCAATTTTTGTCTCTCCAGACATTTGTGGCCAAAATATATAAGGGTCTATGGCAGATCTGCAGTTTCTCAGATCCAGGAGCCCTGCCTGGAACCCTCAGCTTTCATATAGTATTTGATTATGATCCACTCTAGCAGACTAGTGGCCTAAAGCAGCCATTCTCAACTCTGTTTTTGGCCATGGCCACAAACACAATATGAAAGTATATAGGCTGAGTTAGGATTGTGTAAGTCACATAACGAACCTTGTAAGGGTGTGTGTGAAGAATTGTTTCTAGACTGGGTCCCCCTTCAAATGCACCTGGGACCCCCAGGGGGCCATACACCCCCACTGAGAATTTCTGGTCTATAGGATCATTAATGTGAAAATAAATCTGTGCCAGAACGGACAGCAGAAAACTGCAAAAATTCAGTGGGAAACATCAGAGATAAAATGAATAATAAAGGAAATTCTTATAAAAATAAATAACAATTAGGCTGAATGAAATTTCCTCAGCTTCATACCTTATTAATCTCATATCCACTTTCTAAGGAATAAAATATGTAAGAAAATGTATTGCTTCATTAGAAAAACTAAAGAAAAAAAACTTATTTCAGTTAGGTTACAACAACAGAATGCCTGCTGTCCATTTGTCATAAAACATGGACAGGCAGAATAATATAAAAAGTAAAATAGGAAAAATTCTTAGAAGATAACATCTTGTTCCCAATTCTGTCCAAGTCTCAGAATAGGATCAACTCCAATTTCCAGATCATTCTGTATAATGTTATGAATTCAGGTGTCAAAGGAGAAGCTCAGCTTCCTTTGTTCCCTCCCTTTTCTCTGTGTTGAAACTTGCAATGGAATAAAGTAGAATGCTCTTCAAAGTACCTCCAGGCCTTTCATGTCCTCCATCAGTATGCAAAAGCATTGAAATGGGCATGCCAACGTTCTTCGATCTTCCAACTACAACAACATTTCTTCCAAATGTCTGTATTCCTTGGAGGATGAGCCAAAATCAACAAGTCAAACCAATTACAGTTATTCGTTTGAAATCAAAGTTTTGAATCTACTGTTTTTTAAAAAAATGTTATATCTTATTTCCCCACTTCCCATCACGTAAATTATGACAGAAAAGAACTGTTGCCATATAGGTATATATAGGTATATATAGTGACTCAATGTAGTAAGGTGCACTAGAATAGACCCTCTGAATCAGTGAGGAACTGGCGAGTCAGCTCCTCCATAAGTACCACTGATTCAAATGGACTTACTCTAGTTGTAACTTATGACTAGAATTAGACTAGGCATATTAAGTCCCAACTAGACTATACCTATTTGAATCAACAGAACTTCCTGAGGAGATGACCCACCAAATTCCTACTGATTCCATTTATAGGTGATGGCAGACAACACAGTGGAGGAACCAATTTCAGTATAAATTCTTAAAATAAATCATGTTTTAGCTAGGACTTCTAACCGAAGAATTTGAAATTTAATCCATTTAGATTCCTTCTGATTTTTTTATTTCTCTGTAATATTTTCCAGAATGTATTCACCATCCACTCACTAAATTCCATTACCTGTTCTCTTTATTATTTCCCAAACGGCGGCAGCAGTGGCAGGTATAACAGATGGCTGATCAAGACACAGTCGCCCAATATTCAAGATATGGAATCCATCCACGTCTTTGTCTGGAGTGACACCATTGCACACAGTCCTTTCATCAATGTGATCTGGAAAACAGGTTTTGATATTTAGCCTGCCTTCAGCATTAACACTGTTAACAAATCTGTGATTGTGGAGAAACTCAAGAAATGCAGAACTTATGAACATGCACTAACTAACTAACTAACTAACTAACTAACTAACTAACTAACTAACTAACTAACTAACTAACTAACTAACTAACTAACTAACTAACTAACAAATAACTAAATAACTAAATAAATAATAGTTATGATGATTAACAGGAACTAAATGCATCTACAGTCTTGGCAGGTTTGACTCTTGCTTTCACTTAGTGGTGGGAACTAGGAGGGGGAGTGCTTGTTGTTGTTTTAATATGCAAGGCAGGAAAGGAGTAGGAAGGTAAGGAATGGTTCACAAAATGAAAGAAGAAAAGCCAAACAAGTAAACAAAGAGGTGGAGCAGAGAGAGAGAGGGAGACAGAAGAAAAGAGGTACTGTACTGGCAAAGCTAACAGCAACCGGAGCTCATATGGTGTTTCAGCCCTGGGTGAAGGCAGGAAACAATACTGCTGAAATAGAGTTGTAGGCCTACCAAAACCCCTTTTCAGGATTACATGTTTCTGCCAGTGACAGGGATAACCCAGCATATGAGAATCCATCTCTGCACTGCCCAGAGACTAGCAGCTACCCTAGCTAAGAAAGCTAGTCAAAGACTGTAGACACCTGGGAGGTGAAGAGAAACCAGATGCTCAGGGTTTATGGCCATTTACTAGGGCGGTCTACTCCCTGAAGCATTTCCATATACTATCATGCACTTTATTACAGACGAACATCTAGAAATTGAAAGGAGAGTCAGAAGAACAGGAAGATAACTAAACCTTTTCACTATTTTCACTCAGCATCCTTCCTCAGATTCCTTGCCGAGGATTTGGTGTGGCTGAGGGTACTTGGTAGAGGCTATTTGGTGGAGTTCCAAAACCTTAAAGTTGTCTAGATGTCTACAAAGGTTGCTCTTTTTCCTCTCCTCATCTTTCTTGGCACTTAGAAAAGACACTTCTCTGTATACGGCTTCAAAAAGCACCCTATCTAATTCCCTCCCAAAGAGCCACACATAAGTGGTTTCATCTCCCAATGATGGAGCCATACATTCTTTCAGAACTGTGATATTGGGCATCATTGCTCCAGATATGAGTCTGAGGCTGATAATTTTTATTTATTTACTTATTAGATTTTTACCGCACCCCCCCCCCAGACAATGTCTACTCGGTAGACATTGTTGCAATATCTCGGTAATAGTTGAAAATACAAACACACCAGCTTTAAAGTGTTCTTTAGTATCTTTGGAATACCGTCATAAAATAATACAGGTTCTGGAGGCCATGTATGAGTTGTTATTGCTCACATCAGGTAGGTCAGTGGTTCTTAACCTTTTTGAAAGAAACGCCCCCTTGAGCCATTGAGGAAGTTATCATCGCCCCCCTCCCTGCGGTGATGATATCTTATTTGTTTGTTTGTTTGTTTGTTTGTTTGTTTAAGACACTTAAATACAATGACTCCTGAAAACAAAATTCAATTCCAAGAAAATCAAATGCCCCCAAAAAGTAACATTTAATGATTTAGTTGCAAGCGAATTTTAAGACGCAAAAAGAAATATAAAAAGGGCATAAAAACAAACCGCAATGCAGGAACTAAAAATTCCAAGACGAAAACTCTGAAACTAAATTAAGATTGGAGGAAAATATATATTCATGCACATTGTAAAAAGGCTGCAGCCATCTTCACAGGTTTGGCTTGCTCCAGCGCCCCCCCTACCGCCCCCCTTCTGCTCCAGCGCCCCCACACCGCCCCTTTTCGTTCTACCGCCCCCCTGAAAAATGAAATCGCCCCCTGGGGGGCATTATTGCCCACGTTAAGAACCACTGTGTTAAACTAATGGGACTTGTTATGTCAACACTGACAGTCCCCTTGATTGAAGATGTCTATTCTAGTTGTGGATAACAATATTTTTCTCTCACTAAGTGATGAAGATTTTGTTAACTGTGAGTAAAGTCTACTGATGGAATTTTTTTTTAAATTAATGGGGAAAGTCTAAGGAACAAGGGGGGAAAATGTGACCAGCTACATCTGTTACTAGACATCCAAGGTGGGTTTACATGTGGAGCCAGAGCAAATTCACATTTCCTCTGGAGACGTTTTAGTCCATCCAAGAATCCTGGGCAATACAGACATATTATATATAATTGAACAGTTTATTAGGGCCAACTGCACAAATAAAATATGTACAGGCAACATTCCTTCTAATTTTCCAGTGCTAGGTAGGGACTTTGCCCTGTGTGTTCCAGCTGTGACCGGAAGCAAATGAGCAGCAACACTAGCATGGTTGCATGGATCTGATGTAGCACCGTGTGCCCATGCAGCTGCGCGACTTAGAGGGAATGTTGTGTACCAGCTGTTGAAGTCTCAGCATGGTTCATAAAGCTGGTCGGTACAGATATTTGGAAGAAGGCAAGAAACAGAAAAGTGCAAGAACTGGCCAAGAGATTTGTAGCTACACTTGGTCTCAGAGTGAATATAGCAGACAATGAATTACTCATAGTTGTATAAATATGTGTCAGGTTGCAGGTAGCAGTGCATAAATGTGATGATGAATTAATGGCTGCTCTCCCATTTCTGAGGTAGAAGGCTAGTTGATGTGGCATTGGGATTTGCTCATTGCTTCAAGACACGCAGACATCTGTTAGCGTGGAAGAGACGGACAGAGTTCCATAAAGTTTTTTGCATATGGCTAGAACATGTACACACCTGAATATACGTTCAAATGCAATTGCATGCAAA